TGTTTATTTCTTTAAATTTTTCTTAAAGGGACTCATTAGAATTTAAGTTATAAATAGCCCATACGGCTCCCTTTTGCAAAATAAAATCAACGGAGTATGTGACTCATCGTTTAGAGTACGTGCCTGTCAAGTCGTAAGTCCCCGGATCCAACTTGCGGAGTTCATTGTTAATAAATTATTGATAACAAAGATATGAACGTACTTGGCATGACCGAGTGTGTCCGACACTTTACAGGGCTCCACTGTCAAGGGTAAAAGTACTCCTTACAATATTGTGCTATCCGTCTAACATGACGTCATAGTACAATTTATAGAGATTTTGGGCAAATTAGACTATACCACGTATAAAAAGCTGGGTAAGCGCCATCTTTCTTTATTTTTAAGAGGGTAATCGAGCGCGAAGAATACATGACGCTGCCCTAGAGCGTTATTTAAAAAGAAAACAATAATAACGACGCTATTATTAGCAGCATTCTCGTACTTACTCCAACTAATAAAAATATTCTCAAAGAGTTCTTTTCACTCCAACTAATTGAATAAAACTCAATATAAGCTAAAATACTTGCTCTAGGTGCGGTTTGCGACGAAAGGCGAATTTGAACCTGCGACTTTTTCTTTGGCAACTTGTAATCTCTGTCTATTATGTTAATTTCGCTTATCTTTTTTTTGTGGAAAATTTAAGTGTCAAACGTATTTTACAGCTGGCAGTAAGTGAAAACTTTGGCCCAAGGCTACAGCTGCGTTATCAACTCCGAGGGGCAAGATCCTTGACTCACAGCGAGTACTTAAAATGGCGTTTAGACGGTCACACAGTACAGGCACTGCTACCTGGCGGCAGAAATAGACAAGAACCTAGACGAACTAATTGATAGAAAATGAGTCCTATCTTTTAGTGTGTGTATTATTACCTAATTTTGTTTACTAATACTTTGATTTTTCATTTTGACGGATTGATAGCGCAGTGCCTAAGCGTGCGGCTGTGGTACTACGGAGCTCGGGTTCGATTTCTGCTAGGAACGAAAATATATAAAATATACGTGACATAGGAGCAATTTCTAGCGGGTGTAACATTGCAATAAAAGCATTATATAAGAGTTTTGGCTGGAACTAGACCGCTGACAGATTGTTGTTTCGTTATAAAGTTATTACACATTAAAAATAATGATTTAAACTTGATTTTGATACGAAAAAATTGTGTGATGTTGTGTATTAAATGTCTGAGCATGTGAACTATTAGAGGAGACGATGTTGCAAGTGCTTTGATGTTGATAAGAATCTCAAGATTAGATATATCCGCTGCTGCGGCTCGAGATACTATCGCTTTCATCTGTCTCCAGGGTTGTTGTCGTTAAAATCTGCGCAAAATTTCGCAATATGGTGCAACGGCATATTCTGAAGAATTTAATGAACAAAACACACATCAGAGAAGGCTACATTTTTAATATTTCTACTCAAGAACTCCGTATACGTGGTCAGGTAATAATTAAGAAAAAATATCGTTAACTAACTAACTAAATTTTATAGGAGCTATGCTGCAGCTATATTAGTAGTATAGTTGTAGCACGAATGGCTCGGCTCGACCGGGAAAGGACCACGTCGAATACCAGCGTCAAATAGCAGCTTAATACTGCTGTGTTTCGTATGGTGAGTGTAGAGAACCGGAGGCCCTTTTTACTGGAAAAGAGGCATGCCTTCTTAGTCCTCACGGGTGACAACACATCTGCATTTTGATTCGCACACGAGGATAAATGTAGCTGTCTATGGGCCACAGCAACCACTTACCATCAGGTGGACTGTGTGCTCGTTTGTCACCCTATACTATAAAGAAAATACACGATGTGTTGGTGTAAATCCATCGCCTCATTTCGTCCCGTGGGTGTCGAAAGAGGTTATTATGGCAAATGTCAGAAAGATCTGGCTGGATGGCTGGATGGCTTCCGATAGAGGTGGTACAACCATGTATAATACTCAGCATCTACCATCTACTATGAACCAGAGTCAAAGATGCAAGATGTCTGGTACCGTGATTGCCAATTCATCTGCCTAGCGTGCTCTTCTCTAAATCTTTATTACAACGAGAGAGGACCAAGTCCAGCAGTGAAGGGTCATAACTGCTTTGCTATTAATACTTAAAAATAAAATAATAGGTATATAACAAGCAGCCTGTAGGGTATACGTCACGTACACGTTAAAACTTCAAAATATTTTTTTTTAAATTGAAATAGAAGACGTAGGAAAATCACAGATCATCGGCGCCATACCGCCAGTGGGCTATTAAATGTATTGAAATCACAATACCCAGTAGTCCGAAGAAGAATTCAAGGTTAAAATCATCATAAACTCGAGCGTCCCGTCTTTCGATTTAACATTAAAGAAAAACTATACATGTTCATTTTGTCAAAGTCAAAAACAGTGACTGCGATTGTATTTTATCTCCGTTCACATTTTCGCCTGCTACAAAATTCCTCATTGGAGTTACAAAGACAATCTTTAATTAAAGAAAACCTCTTTAATTTTAGTATAATCTGTTGTTTTGTGAGCATAGTTATTAATTTAAAAGTTTAAAAAAAAAACTTAACACGCATTGATCATGAACTGTGATGATCCTGATAATTAATTTATTTTATCCTGGTGATCCGATAAAGTTACTAAATTACTAGCTGAGAACCGTGACTTCGTCCGCGTTGCTTGATATTACATCAACAAAGTTTTCGTATGTGCGAATGAAAAACATAAATTATGGAAAAATCTCATTGTAAACAATGTTATTCGTTGTTCCGTTTGTAGCTAAAATACCTATATAAATTATCTGGGTTAGTAACGCGAGATCAAGCGACGTAGTTGACCGTGTGAATAACCCCGTATAAAAATCGTTGTTTCTTAAAACTTTAATAAATTTGTATTAAATAAGAAATAAAACTTAGAAAACGTAATTAAAATCTGTCCAGTAGTTTTTTTGTGATGCGTGCACAAGTGCAAACTTCTATCGTTATATTTATATAGATTGTATTGTCATCAGTCCTTGATACGAGTGCAAAATTTCAAGTCAATCGACCGTCTACAAGTTTGTGAAAATTGTAGACGAAAGAAAAGATTCAGTTACATAGATAGATATGTAGATAGGTACACGCGAAGCTAATAAGAGTGCGCTAAAAAGGATAAGCGCGCTAGCTTTTATATTTATTTAGTACTAGCGATCTGCTCCGGCTTCGCATTTGTGATTTCTCGATATGGACAACAGCTCCACTTACCAATTGTGAATCTAAACCATTCAGAGACAGTTCTAACACACAAAAATTTTATCAAAGTCAGTCTGTCGAGCCAGATTGCAGTTTTAGTGAGACTAACAGACAGCAATGGATTTTTCAATCCGGCACTAATGAAACTGTCAAGTTTTAAGTGCAGATTTACCACGTGCTCGACGACATATTCTTCGTCAGAATTTACATATCTGAAAAATTAATAAATTTTCGTCGACATGTGAAACACGCATTGAATCAGCACGGCGAACCCTTACTTGACATTTAGCCTTGGCATGAACGAGAGGCACGTGCCCGCCGGTTAGCGGACACATGTAAACTGTTACTTTTACTTTTGTAATATGTTAATGAGTAAATATTAAAAGTTATTTACTTTCTACGCAGTATGGGCGTAGGTGAATTATGCCTGCAGAACGAAGAGGTCATTTATACCAGCTAAGGACAATGCTTTCCACGAGTATCCCCATTTACTCGTAATGAGACATTCCAGCTTAGTCCTCAGGGGTGACATCGACTCTTCCGCTTGTGACACGAGTGACAAGTTAATGTATGAGATGAGTTATCAAATAATTTAAATAGAAATGTGCGAAATAGAAGAGATATTCATACCTATATACTTATATGTCGCAGCCAATTAGCTTAATTAGTCTTTCAGTTAAAAGCCTAGCCTTTTTAAGAAACGGCGCCATTCAACTAGAGGCCTGAATGATAAACGGAGCTTAGCCATCTCGGTGAATGAAATTAATAAGGTGACAGAGGAGAATAGACTGTACAGTGAAGGAAGATCGCAAGAAGCCAGATTTATGGGAGGGACACTTTAGTAAAAGTTTATTCGAAGAACACAGGTTTCTGTCATGGCTAGAGCAAAGGAAGTGAAAGTGAGAAGTTAAGAAAGAGGAAATAGTAGGAGACCTCACAATGGAAAATGTGCTAAATGATCTATCTTTAAGTTTTTTTTGTAGGATAGGGTGACAAACAAGCACGCAGTTCACCTGATGGTAAGTGGTTGCTGTGGCCCATAGAAATCTTGTAACATACATATTATAACTATACATATCACACAAATTCTAGTAAATATAAAATATCTGAATATAAATTGTAATAGAGAACCTATTAGTCCTAAAAATAAAACAAAAACTTCTTTTTATATATTGTACTGTGAGAGTTTCCGAAGGGTAAGTTATAAGGGGCTAGATAAAATATTATTTGATCTGCTAAAACTGACGACTGGGGCTTAGAATAATAAAATTTTTATCATAACTGATTTCCAAATGTCGCAGTCTCCGTTTTTGTGAAAATAAAAAAAATGTTTTTCGTGAATTTTGATTTAGTGAACAGTCGTACCGAAAACAACCGATGTCTTTTTTTTTTATTGTGGCATTGGCTGCCAGAACTCCAGCCAGAAGAACTAAACTACCGTTTTATAATATATAAAATCATCCATTACATAGATTTGTTTAGTTTATTTGCTGTTTTAGTAACATAGATTAAAAGCTTTGAACAGCAGATTGCGTGTGTTAACGCGAACTTCAATATAGTTGAGTATCCTCTTAATAGTCTGTGGTCGTTGATATACAGTATACTCTATGAATACACGCGCGTGGAACAATCTTATTACCACAATATTCCGCGAAAGCGGGAACGGGATAGCCGAACCGAAGAACGGTCATGTATCACCCGGTCGCGTGTTCGTTGACGTATTTTTAGTAGTCACTCTAACAAAACTAGAAATTAATTTACCTCTTATAGGGAACGGCTTGGTCATTATAGTCTCCGAAGTCGGCGGCAAAAGCCGCTTCGTTTCCAGAGACATAGCACTCGTGCACAAATTCAACTCATGTTTTTTACTGTCACTGTGATTGTTGACGCCGCCGCGCAGCCGCAGCGACGGACCGTTTACTACGTCCATCTGCGTGCTCTATCGAAGCATGACTGACAGTGACACCACTAGCACTACACACAATCGAGACCAAGTCGCCCGTGCGACTGCCGAGTGCCGACACAATCACTATCAGCTGATTCTGTGGAAATTTATGAAATAACGAGGCGATTCAAATGCGAATATGAGTGTATAGCGTCGTCTCTATCTTGCCTTTACGTTTGTAGAGTTGATGCGCAGTTAGCGGCAAGCTAATATAATCACAGAGTGCACTCCCGATCTCCTACTAAATACAAAAAGCGCATCATATACAGCGCTACTCGAACAACCAATACGTTAGACAATACTAATAACACTGTATTCTTTTTGGGCATTTTGCCATATTATCTGAGATCGTTTACGTCATAATACAACATGACAGCTGTTTTTTTTTAAATACACGGAGACAGTCATATGGAGACAGTGTCCTTGCACGTTGTTGGACACATGTCACACCGTGTTTTGTTAGTCAAGCCTATTAGATACATAGTATTAAAACGTTGTTTCAATGTTCCATAACTACGTAGGTAATAGGTACTATTACGTATTATATTTTTTTATACGATAAGGGTAATTATTATTATTTTTTGTTGCTGTGGTCCATGGGCATTTACATCTGTCCCCATTTGCGTATCAAAATGCAGATGCGTTGTCACCCGTGAGAACTAAAATGGAATGCCTCTTTTCCAGTAAAAAGGGTCTCCGGTTCTCTACACTCACCATACGAAACACAACAGCATTAAGCCGCTATTTTACGCTGGTATTCTGTGAGAGCGTGGCCCTTCTCCGGTCGAGCCGACCCATTCGTTCTACAATTATACAATTAATATAGCTGCAGCATAGCTCTACCACGTACACAATATGTGCCATAACGTAACGATATATGGTGTGATAAGACTAGAACGTGATACAAAATTAGCTCTAAATTAGGTACCTATGCAAATTATGTTGTGATAACTAGTTACACGTTTAAAATAACTACGGTAAAGAACTCTACTTGATGCAATTCTAGTTTCAATTAGTAATACAACACCTCAGACCAATTTAATGTTTATTTTTAAGAGGGTTTTTACATAACTATTATAATGCCAGTTCCTATTTACATTTTTGTTTATTTTTGTTTAAGTTCAATTTTGACAATTTTGCACAGCGTTCTGGCTTCCTCAGACCAAGAATGCAAAGCCGTAATAATGTTACGAAACGATATCCAATCTATTTATTTAGCTTTATTGCAAAAAAATGCTCTTTCAGTCTCAATCCGAATCACTACACCAAAATATAAATAGCCTATCTATTCTCACACATCCTTTGATTGGCCACTTTCAGTTAAGGGATTTGACGTTTCCCATCAGAAACGGAATCCCGTGTAATTTTTTTTGAATTTAACAGTTTTATAATAAGTGAAATTTTCATTGTAAATAAACATGCCCATAGAAATATAGACGAATTTCAGGATAACAATTTCGTTTATCCAGATTACATCTGTGCTATATTATTAAATATATTTAGTTAAAAAGTTTCAGCCGTATAAGCTCAGGGGCTAAACGCTCGCTTTAAATTTCACAGAGCGCGAGTAACACGATTTCAATCCAATCCAATCGCCGCGCCGGTTCGACCGGGATAGGACCACGCTCTCAAAGAATACTAGCGTAAAATAGTAGCTTAAGGCTTCTTTGTTTCGTATCGTGAGTGTAGAGAACCGGAGACACTTTTTACTGGAAAAGAAGCATTCCATCTTAGGGTGCTTACATAAAGTAAAAGGTTTCCGGTACAGACAAATCTGTGCTGGTCGGTACCGATCGGTGCAGGGTTAACCTGCATAAAGAAACATGTAAATCCAGGTGGTGTGGATGGTAGCGGGAGTTCTGCCGCGATGTGCGTACGTGAAATTTGGTGGCTGGGATTAATCCGAACTATTCCTCAGAGCACTCCCCGTGGTAAATGCGAAAAAAATGCAAAGAGATGCAACATCTCTTCGCAGTGCCAATGAATCGAGCCGATCGGAAAGGACTCGGTCGTCGACGATTCGAGCCGCTCTGCGCTGGATGCGGTCAAGTGGAAGGAGCTGGCACTGGTGAGCCCCTGCCCAGAGATGGCAACAGCATTCCATGTGAGGCCGAACCTGCGCCTTGTAAAGTTGCAGGCGGTGTGCCGGCATGAAATACTGTCCCGCTCTGCTGAGCACGCCAAGCTTTTTAGAGGCCAATTTGGCCTTCTCTTCCAAGTGACCACGAAACTGCACGTCACTCGATATGTCGACTCCGAGGATTTCGATACTGGCTGAGGCAAGAAGGGGAGTGCCTTGAAACTGAGGAGATACGACAAAGGGGTTATTTTTAGCGGTAAACGCGCAAACTTGTGTCTTCTGAGGATTAAACTGGACTAGATTTAGTCGCCCCCAATTCGAGACTTTGTTCAGCAAAGACTCGACTTCAGACACAAGTTTGTTCCAGTACTTGGCGACGTTTTCCCGAGAAATATTAGCACGGCCGGTGTATAGAGCATCACCAGTGCTGTGGTCCGCATAGCAATTAATGTTACCAGTTAGCAACATATCATTGATATGCAGAAAAAACAGCGTTGGTGATAGCACACAGCCTTGTGGAACACCAGCGTTAATAGGCTTGTCGTCGGAGCATGCACAGTCTACAACGGCCTTGATGCTCCGATCTGCAAGGAAGCTGGTGAACCAATTGCACAATTTCTTGGGAAGCCCATAGGAAGGGAGCTTCGAAAGAAGCGCTTTGTGCCAAACCCGATCGAAAGCCTTCGTAATGTCCAAACTAACGGCCAACGCCTCCACCTTTGACTCTACTGCCTCCGCTCATGAGTCAGGTAGACCAGAAGATCACTAGCTGATCGACCCCGACGAAAACCGTATTGGCGGTCACTAATCAGCTGGTGATCCTCAAGGTACCGCATGAGCTGGCAGTTAATAATGGATTCCATTATTTTGGAGAACAAGGAGGTGATGGTGATAGGCCTGTAGTTGGACGGGTCTGAGCGGTCGCCTTTTTTAGGGATCGGGTGGACAAAAGCTGTCTTCCATGATTTCGGGACTAAGCCTAGTGAGTAGGAGTACCGGAAAAGACGCTTTAGGACCGGTGCCAACTCCGGAGCACACGTCCTCAGCACAATTGGGGGGATCCCGTTAGGCCCACTCGACTTCTGGATGTCCAGGGAGAGGAGTGCTTTGCAAACCGAGCGCTGTGAGAACCGCATATCCGGCATGGAGCACTCACACGGGATGGTCGGCGGTGTTTTCCCCCCGTCATCAAGAGTCGAGTTGGACGCAAAAAGTAGTGTTGCCCAAATGCAAGAACAAGACGAGACTTAGCAATTCTTGGTCTTGGTCTTGCGCCAATACACCTGGTCTTGTTCTTGGTCTTGGTATTGCGCTCCGAGTCTTGGTCTTGGTCTTGGTCTTGCAGCAAGAGTCTCGCAAGTCTCGCAATGACCTATTAGCCTATTACTATTTATTAAACGTTACTTTAGATCTTAGAACAACTTAACAGAGTAGGTACATATTGAGCTTGAATTAACATAGGCATAGTAAAGACCAACCATATTAATAAATGTCTAAACATTTATTGAGAAATTCGAAAAATCAACTGACACCGGGTGGGGTTTGAACCCACGACCTAAGCGATCCGTGCCGATGCTCCAACCAACTGAGTGTCCCACGGCCACGGGCGTCAGTTTCTTAATAAACGTTTATAAGCTTACATGTGCTAAAACATGGTTAAACATACATATAAAAACAAATTAATGGCAATAACTACACTGTATTTTAAATAACATTATTCCTCTAGAAAGAGATTGATGGACCCTCCCCATATATGAAATGGAATAAAAGAGTTATACAATATACAATTTATTTAAATAAAAAATAAAATACGATGCAAATTAAATTACTTCACAGTATGTACACAACAGCTTTGACATTACTGTTACTTTATATTTATTCTTTTGACAAAGCATTAATACAAAGTAACCATCTGGCTGACTCATCACTTAACCTATTTCTATGTTTTCTAATTACTAATGATGCTTTAGAAAATAATCTCTCAGCAGGTACTGAAGTTGCAGGTATTAAAAGAAAATCACGGGCCATCTTCGATAAAATCGGATATTTTGTCTCATGCGTCCTCCAACAGTCTAAAATGTCTTCCAAGATGACGGCTCTGGGTTTACCTAGGTACCCCTCCAACTCCTTAATAACTAAGCCTTGAAGACAAGATCCAGATCCATTTTTACACATTTCAAGTGTTTTAAAAGTGCTATGGTGTCAACCATATTTATCAAATGTGTGACGACATATTCGAGCACTTTGTGTTTTAAAAACACACACTTGCAAAAGTCGAGATTTGCAGTGAACTTACTGAACATGTTTATCTTTTAGGTAATAATAATAACAATAGTAGTAAGTAATTATTATAAATCCATATAATTAATTTTATAATAATTACTTACTAGAATAAATTATTATGATACCTACCTATTATCTAATTACAAGATTTCTTGCGAGATCAGGATAATGTATTCGTGTACATTCTGAGCACCCGGAAACTTATTTTATTCTTTGAAACATGTACTCTGTGGCGGCAATCAAACAGTGTCAAATGTAGTGCGTGCGGTGTGGCGGCGACGATTGTATGCGATATCAATAGTAGCCGCCGGCACGTGTATCTTGACCTTGTACATTCGAATAGCTGCACAATTTCTTTGACAGGTCAGTATCCGACCTTTGATGACGCCGACAACGAGACGCCGCGCACCATCAAAGTACCGATGGTCAAAACTAGGGATGCACTCTTTTTTCTTTTAATGGATATTTTCATTCGCTATGTATATTTATGGTATTGTTCGTAATGCGCATAACTCCAATTTTCCAATTTTTTTTTCATTATATTTTTTGCGTCTCATAGAGTCCCTAAGCGTATACCCGAACTCCTATACTCCCTGAAACGACACTTAGTCCTAACTGCAAG